GAATGAACACGAATTTATTATTTGCCTCTCGCTGATAATGAAAAGCGCTCGAAATTTCGACTAGGTAATGCAATGCATTTTGCGTTTATATTCAGTAAAGAAGTTTTAAATCAATTTTATTACTTTCAAATATTGATATTAAAAATCAAAGTAAATACTTTGTATACTTTAAAAAATCGACCAAACTCGAAACATATTTATTCTTAAACATTTTTAATTCTTTACATCATTTCTGACTAAACAAAATGCATTGCTATTTAAGGAGATTTTAATTGAGTACCAGGCTACTACTATTTTATTTATGAAAACTATCAACAGCAAACATTATTAGCTCCTTTAGGGTCAAACACAATGAGAAATATCTGAATGCTAAAGGTACGTACATATAAATGATTACGTAGTACACACTTTTTTTACTATAAGTACATCTTACAGTGACAGCCGCATAGATTTTGTATAAAAGTGGCTAATTAAAATGTTCTTGATATAATTAACTATTTAATTGTTTTTATACATCTTAAGATTGTTTGCTGAGTAAAATTGCGTGTTGCCTTATAACTTGTATTTAAAATACTGTATGGGTATATATAGTTAATAAGCTATGTTTTCTAGTCGACCCAAAACAAGGAATCGAAAATACTTCCAAAACAGGGTTAATGTAGAAAACTAGATTAGAATCTAAACTTACTCGAAAAAAAAAAAAAAAATAATTTCTAGATACTATACACAATGACGCATAGAGAAGTGGGTCTTACCCAGTCCGGAATGGTCCCATAGCCAGGTTTTTATTTTAAATATTATTTATAAAATACCAGATGCAGGCTGAGAAGCTAGGTAGCAGGTGAGTGTCAAATCTCCCCTTTCCTAAAATGGGACTTTATTTGCTTAAAATAAAGCTTGACGTCTCCCGCCGGGCCAGGCGAAAACTACTCCGGAAATATCCTCATGATATTTATGGGCGAGTCGGAACCCACTAGCTAGACCCACGTTACCTCTTATGCTAATGTATCTTTGTGACATATTTGACAATTTTATGGCAAAATTTGTCCAGCTCAGATCTATGCTCAAGCAACATGTTGCATATCAGGCCAGTCTCCAACTCCAGATCGCACCTGGCTCTTTCGAAAGTCAGACAGTCAACAAGTAAATGAACCACCGTTTGATCGGTTCTTTCCTCACAATCGCACGCGGGGCTTGTCTTTAGTTTGAATCTGTGTAAATAGTGTCCAAACGCCCCGTGGCCCATAGAGCTAGGGGTTATTGACCGAAGTTCATGGCAAATATATATACATAATAATAATACATATCTCTTTAGTAATTCTCGGCTCAATACTGGGCAAAACATGGTGACAACATTATTATTCACTCGCCCATACGAATCGCCCTTTCAGTAATTCTCAGCGGGCGTGCCCGTGCGTTCGCCGGGGTCAATACCGAGGACAAAATCGCTTACGATGAGGATTTTATTTCCTTCACGAAAAAAGTCCAATCGAATGGTTGCCGTAGAGGCGTCGTATACGGTAAGACCTATACGAATCGAATGGTCGCAGTCAAGCGGCCGAAGATAATTATTCCAATGTTATGGTTGCGATGTTTCGTCCTTATTTTTGGGGCCCTTTTCTCTTTTTGCAAAAATATTTTCTTAGCATCTAAATTACTATGGTACATATAATTAGAACACAGAACTATAGTTTTATTGCGAGTCATTAAAGAAAATTATTGGACAAAATTGTAATGTTAAATAATTTCAATTAGAATCAATACGATCCTTCATGACACGTTATTTATAATACGTTGTTTAATTTTATTGTAATTAAAGTTCCACACAGCGATTAAGACGTGTGATGGCTTTGGCCGATTAAAAAACTCAAGAATACAAAAGGTCGGTTTTAAGATTTCTTCTTTTTTCTTTTTTTTTTTTTTGTATCTAGTATCGTGCTAATCACTAGGTGAGAGATGCATAATAATAACATTTTATTACCATATCCTTAATTATTTCCTGTAATTTTTTTTTTTCATTGCGCCCAAAATATTTCCCCCCCAAAATACCATGGTTACGATGTTTAGTCTCTTATTTTTGTGGTATAACCCTTTCCTCTTTTTGCATTATATATTTTTTGACCACTAATATTTACAATAAAATTCTATAGGACAAGTACTAAGGTACAAGGTATAATTAGAACACCGGTAACGTATACGTTTTTAATTGCGACATAACAGGGTGCTTTGTCTATGTAAAAGACAAATTGTTTATACGGACAAAAATATTATTGTAATAGCCACAACACACTCACTCACCGACCTTTCCGCCCCGGCCCCGCGCGCCACACCACACAACACCCGCCCCCCCCCGCCCGCTCCCTTGCCCCCTTCCCTCGGTCCGGGCCCCCCACCCTCCGGGGTTCGGGGTTGGGGGGGGGGGGGGGGGGGGGGGGGGGGGGAATTCATTTGATAATTATCAATTATAATCAATGAACATTGTACTGGAATAACATGTTGCATGACACTGTTATTTATAATACTTGTTAATAACTGATTTATTGTAATTAAACTGTTCCATAGTAAGCAACAAAAGATTTATATTTTATATGTAACAGTAGTTTAATTTTAAAATTAAATTGTTTTCTAGAATGACTCAAATCATTAATTTGTCAAATGGAAGAGACTAGCTCCACGACAGGGAATCCTAGTGTGGGGACTAGTGCAATTTCTCTTTTAACTATACATTCTTAATTATGATCTGTAATAAAGTTTTTTCTTTCTTTCTTTTTCTTTCTTACATACACATATTATTAGGAGGCAGACATCATTTAATCTCACTTTTACTCCCCATCATTATTTTAATTTATACGACTTGTTAAATCTCACTTTTTTAAATATGTGGTGTAAATTGAGTCTTTATAATTTCGCCTATTACCTTTGAATAGAAAAAATTACTTCTTCCTTTGTTTAGTTTTTATTCGTATTTGTGAAGGAATTAAAGATATTAAAGGTAGGTTCCTAAAACAGTCGATGGATGGCCTGAATACCACTGTCGTATAATAATATATCGGTATCATACTTTAGCTAACTAACTACCCATATTGTTGCAGTTCTTCAACTCATTCATTTTATCTCCATAATATTATCATTGATAGCTAGTTCCCGCGTATAATTGTTTTACGACTGGGTCTTGTAGTATGTAGTACCAGTGCTTAAGTATTTATTGAATTGTATCTACTATATTTTTGGAGTTTACTCCTTAAGAAACGATTTGAGTTATAAGGCCCAGTACGGAAATTTTATGAGGAGTAAAATCAAGTGTAACACGAAAAGTTGAGGCGTTATGTGTAACACGAAAAGTTGAGGCGTTATGTAGAAAGAGACAAACATATATATCTGTAGGATTGAACGTGTAAAAGAATGAGATGGAATACATTACACAGACTTTTCTATTTTGAATTCACGTTTTGACAGCCACGTTACAACATTGTCAGTGTTGACAGGTGTAAAAAATAAAAGTAGATTGTCTAGCGTGCCATAGAGTTTTGTCAATAGTAATGGTCAGTGAAATTAAAACTAAAAAGATTGTTCATTCTTATTCTTCTCTTACTATAAAGGTAACTTTGGTCACAGAAAGAAAATCCTATTTGGGCATAGATGATGTAGGTACGTTTTATTACTACTACAAACATTTATATTATAAAAACATATATTCTTACCACCTTTAGTATGAAAATATGGTGCGTCGTAGCTGACACACACACACTTTTTATTCATTACCCCTGACTTCCGTGAGAAAAAAATACGAGAAATAATGCTGGAGTTCACATAATGTCAAGGTAATATGTTTAGACTGGCATCTGTGTATTTTAAAAGAGTACTTACCGAGAGTTTTTTACGCCGGCTTTTTCTCTCAGCCTACACCCTCTGTCTTCTTTGCCGATGAGTAGGGATGCCTACAAATTCAAATTTAATGACGTGGAATAAGTGATACATGTATCTTATGTGCCATAATAAACATATTTTATTTATTTATTTATTATTTATTTTGTAGCGCCATACATAAATTTGATGGTAGCTGTACACACCGCGAGACACCCTACAGGCCCCCCCCCCCCCCCCCCCCCCCCCGCTCTCGGTCGCCTGTGGTTTTTCGCAACGAGCAAAGGGTCTCGCGAGTAAAACGAGAACGACCCGTACACACTCTTCAATCACTTTCATGACTGTGGTTGTGACAGGACGTATCGCACAATGTGGTCTAACGAACGCGAATTAGAGTTTTTGAGTGTTACCAAAGGGAATCGTTGTTATGGAATCCGAAGGATGTAGGACACAAAAATAAACAATCCTCTACATGATGCTTGGATGCGAATAAGCCGGCCGATAGCAATTTACAATTTTGGAAATATTAAAACTTTATGAACCTAATTACCTATTTCTGTTGGGGTGCATAGCAACCATCCACCATCTTCTTCCTCCCCCTTTGCTTCTTTTTTTTTTATGGTAAACGTGAAGATAATTATAATAACCCTATTGCACAAAGACAAACAGCAGCAGCGGTTTCCACGTCCATTATTAACGGTGTTTTAAATACAAATGACGTAACGAAACTTTGTAAAGGCTGCGCTCTTCTCCCCCCCCCCCCCGCGGGCGACCCCCGCGGGGGGCGCCCCCCCCAATCAGTCCAGTAGATACGTAACAAAACTTTGTAAAAATCAGTCCAGTAGTTTAAGGCAAGATAAGTAAAACAAATATACATAATATGATACAAAGCCCTTAAGTTTTGGTATAAATTTTGTTTCAATGATTAGCTTAAATAATTATAATAAATTTCTTGTTTAACTATTTCTTAAATAAACAGTATTTTCCATAATAATCCCCGGACATTACTTTTAGTCGCAATTGATGTTTATACACTCCAGAATATACTGATAACGCGATACACTATGACCCGCTCGCAGCTATATATATGTCAGAATAACGGCAGCCGTCAGTCTATACAGTGCTACAGAGCGACAATGTTGCTAATCTTAATCGGTTTGGTGGCCGCCGCCGGCGCAGCCCCACGCTTCCCCTTCAGCGATGAAACAAGCCTGGAAAATATGTTCAACGATGATATATTCAGCATGAATAATTTCTGGCAAGAATTCGGCAGAGAAATGGCGACACTCGAACAAAGAATATCGCAAATGTCACGAAATTTACCCCAAGTTGTCACAAAGGAGGGAGTCGAGGGTAACGAGTACAAAATAGAAATTCCCCTAACTGGCTTCCAAGAAAGCGACATCTCCGTCAAGGCCAGACCGGGACTACTGAAAGTTGTAGCGAAGCATAATTTCGGTCCCGGATCAACCAGCAACTATATCATTGCTAGGTCCTTGCCCGACTTCGTGGGAGCAAACGGTGACTGGACCTACGAAGATGGCATCCTCAAGATAGTATTCCCCTTAAACAATAATGCAAATGAAGGTTCTGATCAACAAACTGTTGCGCCTAATCACAGTCGTGAAGAAATCGAAACAGACAACACAGACAACGGTGCAAACGCTGATATTGGGTTGGATAGATCAGGACAAGACTCTGAACTAATGACCAATGAAATACCGTCTAAGGGACCGGTGGAAGGAACAACTTATTCCGAGGGATTGAAGGACGATGTTGAATTTGTGCCGCTATCTAGGTACTAAGTTTTGTTAGTGATTCAAAATTTTAATAATAAAAATTTGAAACACAATATATATTGTAATTCCGTATAAAAATAGAATATGTGAACAAAGGTTAGTGTTTGTAGTGATTGTGATATTAAAAATATTGTTTCAAGTGTAATTAAATGTATTATTTGAACCAGGTGTTTCTGATGTTAGCGCTAACTATAAAATAAGTATAGATTCGTTACGTATTTAGTGTCGTATTTAATAAAAAAAAAATTAATCATATGAAGGCAATGGAAAATTTCTGTTAAAAACATTTAATATAGGTTCTTTTATAACAAATTTTAAATACTTTCCGTTTAAAAACAATTAAAACGGTGAATAACTTAAATACTGTCACGAACCAAAGTGTTTAATTGTCTTGTTTTATATGAATCGTGTACCGATAATTACACAACAATAGGTACAACGTCAATCATACAAGAGAAAAAAAAATTATACAACTAAAATACTTTGCATATTTTTGTTGTCTAATATTTTTTGTATTAATTAACACTTCCATGTATTAAGACAAATGAAAGATAACCTTAATGATTGAAAAACAACGGGAAACCTTATCGCTAAAAACGACACCATTCAACTCTAGTAAGAAAAAAAAATACTCAGAGGAAAGTGTAAGAAGTGCGTAACTAAATTAACCAAAATAAATAATTTCATCTTATAGACATAAGCTACAAAAAAACAAATTTTCTAATAGGCAAGAAAGTGATCATATTCCTGTGTCTGGCATGCCATTTCATTACGATATTTTCCTTCACCGTACGAGTAAATAGCGCACATACATAGTACATAACTGTACAGCCGGGGATCGAAGATACGACCTCAGGAATGACAGTCGCACGCTGAATCACTGCCTTTAGTGCCTTTGTTTGAAAAAACGGTAATCTAGTTTGCAAGCGCTTAGACAACTTTTATAATTCCAGTCATATTCTTTTAATTGTTTTTTTCTTTAAAATCCAAATTATACAAGTTCTTTCTAATTAACATATCATTATGCTAAATGAAGTAACAAAAAAAATTGGAGTAGGTACTTAAGATAATCTTTATTGAGTGATACTCAGGTAAGTAAAATACAAACATTTTAATATTTAGAAAATGAATAAAGCTGAGTAAAGGTAAGTGTAGGGAATATACATAAAAAAATATAATATAAGGCAGTGTAGCTTTACTGGAACTGCAAGTTTTAATTTACTAGAAGACGCACATAGATAGTTACTAGAGTAATATTTTCCTCATTAATTGTCAATGTAATTGTAATAACAACACTGATAAAATACACAGATTATTTTCTCTTAGGGAAAATGTTATCACCAATTAAGTTATTATTATGTATTTACTTGAATTTTGTTTACTCTAAAAATATCCTCTCTAAATTTTAAAAGGCCGGCAACGCACTCGCGAGTCCTCTGTCTGACATAGTGTATATGGACTAAATAATATAACCTAACATCGTTTGAACCTCCTGTTTGTTACAAATATGTATTAGGTCCTTAAAACTCCTGATAGGCCAGCAACGCACTAATATTATTTAGCGGTTCATACTGCCTTAGTTAAATTTTCCCATTTATGTGTAAACCCTTTTACAACGTCTAGTATACAGGTCCTATTATCTTAATTTTATAGAAATCCTTTCAGTGATTAAAATACGTATGAATGTATGAATTTAATATTTTTAATAAATCTCATGATAGCGGAAAGCAATAGTTATGTTCCATAGGCATCATTCATAGTTATTATGAGCAGGAAAATGTAATTTTCTACACGACCAATGTCATGCAAGGTGAACTATAGGCTTTACATTATATCTATACACATCTACACAGAGGAAATAGCATCATATCGTTACGTACCCCGGGGTACCTCGCACCCACCCCAAAATCATCTAGTGCCCTGGTTACCGAAACTATACACGGTACACCTAAGAAACCAAATCCCACACTGGCCCGATCTTACGATCTTCAGACAATAATAGATTAATATAAACCTAGTTATATAACCTCGTGTGTCACCACCATAATTATATTTTATATAAACAAAACCATTGCAACATAGTAGTACAAAGATCCTTTATATTTCAATAGCCGAAATGCTGTTACATGATTTACGAACCACTCTTAGTTCTTACTAAGTAACGTTTCCTTGTAGAGCGTGAGAACAATGTGTCAGCAGAACGGTCACGTAGGCCTTTAAGAATAGGATATAAATATAATAGAATACTTGTAATATTCAGTATTAAACGGACCTCAAATCGGACCGGTTGTATTCATTTTAACTTTAAGTTTTTAAAAAACCCTTATTTCGCGGACCCACTACTTGACTGGCGCTGAGGACAGGATAGTCGCTCTAGCTGCACGTACTTCTCAATTATCGGTTCGAGCATCAAATTCTGCTTACCTAAAAAGGGGAAACTACGTCGCGATTGCTAAAAACGGCTATTCCAAAGAACAAATAAATTTGTCAAGAACAAAAATCCAAAAGCGTTAAGGGTGTTTTGTGCGAGTGTTGAGGCAGCGATGTACTGGTAAGTCACCTTTTCACCTTTCAAATCCAGCCCTCTCCACTTTTCTTTTGTTATTTTGAGATCGACATCTCTCATCTTAACGATAGTTTTAAGACTTTGTTAGATTTAAATTCATATAAACGTAAATTGTAATAAGTAAATTAAAGAAACATAGAAGTAAGTAGGTTAGTGCATGAAATTCTGCAACCCCTAAAGTAAGTATAAGTTTAGATTCACATCAAATTCTGTGAGCTAAAATTATTGAGTAATTGTGTAATTATTTAATCAAACAATTCCTGAAAGAATACATAAAACCCAAAAAGAAATATTTTATATATTTCGGAAATACGGAACATCGCAAACAATTCAGCAACATGGTAATTAGGCTTTTTAAAGGTGGATCAATTCAATTTTATGAGTGTACGGAAAGAATCGTTTTTATTGACGATGAAAATAAACAGAAAGCCGTTATTCTGAAATTTCATCTCGGAAAAACCTGTCACAGAGGTATTCAAGAAACTTTTACACGCATCAGGCGACACTTCTTTTGAAAGAACATGAAAGAAACTATATCAGCAGTAATTAATTCTTGTGAAGCCTGTAAACAAATGAAATATGACCGAAAGCCTTTGAAACCATATTTACAGTTAACTCAAATGCAAGATGCCCCATCCCAGGAATTATTTATAGATATATTTAGTATCGAAGGAAAAACATACCTCACCTTAGTTTACGCTTTTAGCAAACTAAGACAGGCAATTGAAATTACTATCAAAGGCACACCTGACGTTATCCGCGCACTAATAAAATACTTTTCATTTTACGGCATACCTAAGAAAATAAGCTGCGACTCTGGTACTGAATTCAACAACGATCTATTGAAAGAAATGATGTCACTCTATAAAATCCAAATACATATCGACACACCTAGGAACCCTAATTCAATGGGAATAGTTAAACGTTTTCATTCCACCTTAATTGAAATTTACAGACTGACAAAATACGAACAACAATGTACCGACGCCGCATCTATTATATCACTCATCATGGCATATAATAATGCGAATCATACTGTAACAACTTTAACACCGTTTGAAGTAGTGTTTGGCCATGTAGGTTCTGAAAACGCATTCAATATAGACTTCGAGAAACGATACTTGCAAAAATTAATTAAAGATCACGCCAAAAGAATAAAAGTTTTATACAAAATCATATCTGATAAAATGTTAACGTTTAAGGAAAACTCTAGAGAAAAACGCGGTGGCGAATCCGACGTCCCGTTACCAGAAGAGAAAACAATTTTCACAAAATTAATAAACACTCGTAGAAGTAAGTACAAACCTTGTTTTGAAAAGGCCATAGTTACAGGAAAACCTGAAAGAAACACCATCCCTATTAAAATTAGAGGTAAACACAAAAAGGTACCAATTAAAAACATAAAACGACCTCCAAAGGTGGTGCTTAGTGATCACGATGACACTCACGAGCCCCAGCTTGGGCCTTCAACTTCAAAAGGTTGAAAACAATTCAGGGATCCGTAAGACAGGGAACATCCTTCATCAAACAGGATAACTGGCTTATTTTTAAGGTATTAGATTTGAATGGCCTACTAATGGAATTAGAATATAACAATAGGAAATATAGTAATTTTAGTAAGATAGTAAGTGATGATAAGCCTTAGTTTAAAGAATTTTTAGGAATTAGGGAACAAGTAGAGTATTTGCAAAGAATAACTACTGAAAAGATTAGGCAAATAATCCCTTCACACCGAGTACGAAGAGGAATATTGAACCCTCTAGGCTCTATTATTAAAATGATAACTGGAAACTTAGATCAGGAAGATGCTCAACGATATGAACAGTTAATAAATCAATTAGGTAATCAACAAAATTTCCACAAACAAGCGTTTAACAGTTGTTTTCAAAATGTTAGATGAACTCATTAATTCATCAGAAATATTACACAATAACTCAAAAATTATGGACGAAAGACTAAAACGTGTAAAAAAAAAATGTTAAAAGACATAAGTACTAAAGAAAATAATGCAGTATACTCTACATATGTTTTAAGTTTATATAATCTTTTTGTAAGTAATTTTAAAACGCTTTACATAAAAATTAAGCGAATTAGAAATTGCTTTGGCTTTCACCAAAACCAATGTTTTACATATTTATTACAGATTTTAATTTATATATCACAGTCAGAAAATCTTATGTATCCACCCACTTGGGATAATTTAGTTAAATTAGAAGATACGATTAATGTTAAATCATACATGATAGACAGGAAAATAACTTTTGTATTAGAGGTAGCTTTAATAACCAATTCAACTTATAGTAATAAAATGTATCCCTTACCTATTACCCTAAAAACCTAACCTTAATAATCATTCCTAAATATCCCTATATCCTGGTGAAAGGTGTCATACTTATCGCTTATACAGCCTTGCAAACAAGTCTCTGAGGAAAATTATCTCTGCACACAAGAAAACAGGGGCACCGTATCCTGAAACGACATGCATTGAGGAGCTGATGACCTTCAAGGAAAACCCATCCAACTGTGACCAGAATACAGTAATTATAGAAGAGGTAAAGGTACAATAATAGTAATCAAATCATTATTCAAAATAATTGCAAAAATTAGATAAGCCGAAACTCTATAAAGGGAACATAATATATCATTACTATAGATTAACCCTGCGATCTCAACATCAATGACATCCAATTACATCATCAGCGTTCATATACAGAAAATATGTCATCAGAACGTATCCCATCCATTAAGCTGCTGGAGTTACAGTCAACAGTGAACTCTAAGGAAAATCAGAATCCAGTAAACTTACAAGGAATGGAGCTCAGTGACCGGCAACACATGTCTTACATGCTGTAACAACTTAACAGAGATAGTGATAGTGAAATGGGCAATTCAGTGAAAGTGAAAAGCATTAGTTTAGGCACTCTTTTATTGTATTTTGCTAATTGTTGTGTTTTTTATAAAAAATAAGATTATTAATATGTTGCAGTGGCGAAATAATCAGAATTTGCATGTGCAATCCCCTGATAATTTCGCTCTTAAGGAGGGAGGAGTTATATAACCTCGTGTGTCACCACCATAATTATATTTTATATAAACAAAACCATTGCAACATAGTAGTACAAAGATCCTTTATATTTCAATAGCCGAAATGCTGTTACATGATTTACGAACCACTCTTAGTTCTTACTAAGTAACGTTTCCTTGTAGAGCGTGAGAACAATGTGTCAGCAGAACGGTCACGTAGGCCTTTAAGAATAGGATATAAATATAATAGAATACTTGTAATATTCAGTATTAAACGGACCTCAAATCGGACCGGTTGTATTCATTTTAACTTTAAGTTTTTAAAAAAACCCTTATTTCGCGGACCCACTACTTGACTACCTATACAATAATTTGTTGTTGTTGACAAAATGACAAATAGGCCACCAATCTGAAGTCTTACGATTCAAATTTTGTAGCTCGCAGTTTAACAAAAACACATTCTACAAAAAGTATGACTCAGGACATGAAAAAGTTAGTCATAAAATTAACATAATAATCTATAATCGTGATATACTAACACAACATTGTTTTTGCGCATATACTTTATATTGCAAATGCACGAATAAAATTGCAAACCATAACATGTTATAAAAAAGTAAAACCCTTTAAAAATGTAACATTTAACTTCTTATGTGTATCAAACAATAACACACTTCAGACTCAATGTAACGTACAAATAATTATTTTCCTACAACAGATTATAATGTAATCAGCGTCATCTAACGATTTAAGAGTAAACTATTCAAACATTCAGGACAGAATAGAAAACTATATATGGCGCTACAGATGTCGCTAGTTACAATTAATTTCAATTTTAATTTACTTAACAGATGGCGTTTATCGAGTTCTTCTTATTTATCTTACTTTAATTAATAAACACGATATTGTTTCAAGGTAGAGCCGTGGTTCGACAAATTTACAATATAATAATATTCTCTTTAGAAACGGAACATTATAATAGGAACTGCTCCTTACATCTTTACAACTGAAATGCAGTTGCCTAATTAATGTTAACAAAATACTATTTATTTATTTTATTAAAATATTAAGTACAGCTTTAACTCATTCATGATAATCCACCAAAGATTTGCCTCATTTCAAATTTATACAACTACCAATATATAAACCTAAGTTTCAAATATAGTTAAAAAAAAAAACACCAAATGACTAGAAAAGTTTATTATTATATTATAGATTAATAATGAGGTGTTGCTGTGAAAATTAAAAATAAGCCTTTTTTCTTAATGACATCTCACTGAAATCAGCGCAAGAATAGCCCACGAAACAATCACAATCACGAAATCTCACAAAATTTACACATTCAGAAAATTCGTAGAGAGAAAGACCTAAACGCCTACTCAGTCTTTACACCTTCAAGCTGCTTCTTCACCGGCCCGGTCTGCACAATTGGAACAATTCTCTCATTCGAACCCTTTGGTGGTGCTTTCAATGGAGCTGTGATGGTAAGCACACCATCCGAGGACAGCTTAGAGATCACAGCAGACTCCTCAATACCTTCTGGTAGTTGATAACGTCTTGTAAAGCCTCGCGAAATGAATCCGTGTTCATCCTGCCTCTCTTCGTGCTTGGCTTCAACAACTAAAAACCCATCAGCAGTTTTCACAGAAATGTCTTCGGGAGCGAAGTGCTGAACATCCACATTGATTTGAAACTTGTTCTTTTCGTTTTTAATTGTAGATCCTTCATCCAGGTTTAATGCCCTAAGATTTCGCCATGGTCTGTTGTAGTTATTGTTCGTTTGCGGCACAGCCACAATCGTCAAATAATCATTCGGCGTCAGTCCTAACCCGAAATGTTGATCCATTAAGTGTTGTCGTGTTCTAGGACGCTCAAAATCCATGAAGAACGGATAAATAGACATTTTGAATCAATTAATTCACTTTTTACAGAAAACTTTCGATAAACAAATTATATCGCTTAACAGTATCCCCCGCTTAGCTTTTGACAGAATAACGCTATAAAACGCCGGTAAAGTATTTATACATGCCAACGACATCTGGTAGCGAATGGAAACACGTCGAATTATCTAGAATATTAAGAAAACTATTATGCTAGAACTTTCCAGGCATGACGCGTCTGTTCTATACTTTAAGTTAAAACAGAGATATTGCACATTTGGCTAACATTAAAAGATTTTTTATTTTGCTTGTAGCCATTCTTAGACAAATAACAAAAAAATTAATAAATTGAATATTTCTAATTATTATTCAAAAATTAAAATGTATTCATAAATTCAAGAAACTTTAATAATATATTAGTATATTTATTATTGTTGTAATTGTATAAATTTTTACTACCATTTGAGTTTCATTTTTATAATAATTGTAATACGTGAATACAAAATAATGTTACTCGGATAATAACATCATTAAAAAATTGATTTTTGATAAAACTTATTAAAATGTTGGCAAGCTATGACGTAAGGTTTTTACTACTGGACAATAGATGTCGCATGTTGTTTCTATGATATTCTATTTCCAGAAAATTCTTTTGGTGCTTTTTAAAGTAGAACATGGGGTTGGATGTAATATTTTGAAACCAACAAATGCTTCATATGTACATGAAATATGGTTTATTTTATTGTAAGTTTTTATAAATTTAATATAAAAAAATTCTATAATTTTTATATTAAACGCTAGATGGCTCTGAAATACTCTGAATATCGTAATATTTTCTTTTTCGTAATCATTAGACTATTATGATAAACAGACCTAATACAATGTATTTTGATGTAAGAGTAGAATCTATTTATTGTAGATTGGAAAATCAGATTTTTTCAAGGGATCGTTACTGCGCGTTACATGGGATCGGCTTTCTTAAAACAACCAGTTAGGTTTAAGTTCCTAAATTCAATAGGAATTTTTTATACCATGACCTATAAACTGAAACGTATAGGAATCGCAAGGCCGCTGGCCGAACGAAATAACGATAACTTTGTTTGTGGTGTCTGTGTAAGTTTTGAAATTTAACTGTAAAACATACTTCGATAGTTGATTCTATAATAACAAATAAAATCTAAAAAATATTTTAAATAATTCATCTATCACAATAAGCTATTATGTTTTAGTATACATAATCATTTAATAAAAAAAAACTACTATTTTGACAAATTTGAAACGTACCTAATGTTTTCTGGTGCTTTGATTAGGTATTGACACATTCTTCATCTTGGTGTTTACAAAATTTCAGTATTGTTCATAAATTTGTTTTACAAAAATAAATACATACGCTACAAAAGGTAAACAACTAACTCGAAAATCATAATTAACTTTAATATAAAAATAAATTCCTTTTAACTGTACAACTTTACTTTATAAGTTATCTAATTCATATAATATAAACAATTATATTTTCTTTACAGCTTAAACTTGACTTGACAAACTCGATGAATTGAGAGACATGTTGGAGAAGAAGACACCCAATGAAATACATATATAAAAATATGTTTGTATTTGCTGATTTTTTCGACGTCATGGTTGATGCATAAGCGATGCATCTCAGTTGTAATATAATAAGCCAATAGGTTCGCAATAACAGCTCATGGTAGGCCCCCACCTATTGGTGATATCTGACTTTTATAATTTTTAAGAAGAAAACAGTATATACCCTAGCTTTGAACTTGTTCTTAGTTCTGAACAAATTGACTAAAGCTTTTAATAGATATTTTATAACATTATTTGCTTTTTCATTTATAAACATGTTATGAATATATAAATAAATATATATAAATTTATTTTGTAATCCTACAGCTAATATAAATTAAAATATAATGAATAACATATTACGAAAGATTTATCCAAAGTAATACATAATCTTGACATAAAGATTCAAACAATAAAAAATATTTAATACATTTAACCTAAGTAGTACCTTATTTATTTCTTTTACTAAATTAATATTAATAAACAGGTGAAAACAAGGAAAGATCACCTCAAGGTCATTAAAATGCATTCAACGTAGTAATCATGCAAGTATTTGTAAACACTACTATTTTTAGATTGTTAAGCAAGATCATGACAATCTATTATTACAGTTAACTCTGCAATTGCAGTTACATTTATAGTCTACCTCAGAAATATGTATGACTAAATGCTTATAATTTCTCCTATTTTTTGTCTGCTTTTATATTTTATTATGGTTAGTGTTTAGTACTGGAGTTATAAAAATCTATAATAATATAACAATACTGTCCAATATCTCCAACTACCTACTGGTCTTAACTAAAAAAAGGAAAAATAAATATACCATAAATACATGTTAATATTTCTTTATTACCACATTAGCATACACATAGATGAAGAAATACATTATCATACAAAAAGTAATTTTAAATATAAAGTACCAGACACTATAATTACAGAAAAAATTCAGTCTTAAATTAAAAAACCTTAAAAATTAAATATAATTAATTTTCTTCAACCTTCGATGGTTCATCATTAGGTGATCCAATTTGTTTTTTGATGGGTCCCGTTGGTGTGATTGGTACAATTCTTTCGCCAGTTGAAGGCATAGCCAAGACCTTTGGAGCTGTGATTGTTAATACACCATCAGTGGATAATTTAGACTGCACAGTGTCTGGTAAACATCCTTGAGGTAAAGGATATCTACGGATGAACCGCCGGGAAACGTAGCCATGTTCGTCCTGCTTCTCTTCGTGCTTGCCTTCAACAGTAACATGTTTGTCGACGACCTTCACTGAAATTTCCTCAGGGGCAAAGTGTTGGACGTCTACATTGACCTGGAACTTCTCTGAATCTGAAGATATCTTGGTACCTTCCATCGCCATTTGATTCATAACAGACGTAAGCTGCTCCATCTGTCTGTACATATCTTCCCATTGCCGGAATGGAGAATTCCGCAAGAAATTATGAGGAACGAGTGTCTGGTGGAAGTTCGGGATCATGCTTGGCGAAAATATTTCCCTTTCCATGAGTCTTAGAGGTCTCTCGTCGAAAAAGTGTGGAATTATAGACATTTTCACTAGTTATATTTATTAACACTTTTGTCTACACTCGCGACTCGAGCTCACTTCGAAGTTTGCCGACTGCCGTTTGGTCTTGTTTTCAATTGCCGGTCTGACGTCGGCTCGGGATTTATATACCGAATAGCGCCACCTATTAGTAATTACTCGAATGTCTGAGAACATTCCAGAAAGGGCAAGGCGCTCGAGAATTATCTTTACTCTTTAACTGTATAAACAAATTATTGAGAACAGTGACCTCTCGTATCAAGTAGAGTAACACGTTACATAAATTTAAATGAAACGTTATTCAAATATGTGGGTAATATTGTTTTAATTATAACTATTATAGTATAATGGTTTTCATTGACTTACGAACTTTTAATACAATTTTATTACAGCGTTAAATGAGAAAATAGTAGTAATTATCATCTAGTAGCGTAATTGAAAAGATAAAATATTATTTCATGCCAATTTTATGGTACTACTTACACAAAAATCTCAAATTTCGATTCTGTTTTCCATTTGATTTTAAGTGATTATTAAATACGTAGGTATACATTTTATACATTCGGCTAGGAATTAGTTTTTACGGAAAATAATCAAAGAGACTTCGTATTATATAAGGTATTTCATATACACACGCCGCAAAGTTGCAATTTGCATTGATACTGATATTATTCCGATCTCTAGGGGACAAACGCAGGCATTGACATCCCGGTCTCTTGATAATAATTTATTAGCATATAATAGCGTGGTCACAGGCTATCAGTTGTTTTGTAACACTATGTCAGCCAGTGTGTGTTTTATATATTTATTTCTTGCAATTATTCGGTATGAATTTTACATTTATTTGCCAAAATGATTTTACCCTTTGGTGTTAGAGTTCATGCCTCATGGTGTACTGATGAGCTCATACATTATACTTGTACTAATTCTCTGTAAAATATTATAATGTATACATTAGAATTAGATCCGGTTCTTCCAGACATATCTGTATTCATTAGTCATTAAATTTTTGTTATTTGGTGATTTTGTGGCTACAACACAAATACATTTTAATACAATATTACATCAGTATTGCTTTGAGGATCATTATAGGATCATATAATATGTTTTACGTTTTAATTCAAATATTAAATTAAAAACTTTGGCCAAATTAAACACGTGAGTTCTTTAGAGTGCATATCTAATACTTTAAGAGCTTTACAAAACTTGAATTCAACGAGTGATATTTTATTCATCTGGCGAAAGCATAGATTTATGTCGTGGCGAAAGCTGAATTCAAATGTTCATAGGTAAATTAAGCCAGGCTATGGACACTCTTATAGTGAAAACTCGCGATGAGAAATAAAGAATATGTGTACATTTGCAGAAGTTCAAGTGACGCTTTTGAGACGGACTCCAAAATATGTTTTCCGAAAAAATTCATGTTTGGCGTGGCCACCGCTGCTTATCAGATAGAGGGCGCTTGGAATGTATCCGGTGACTATTATCTTTTTATCGCCATATTATTGTAATATATTACTTATAATTAATCGGTGATTAGTGCACACTAGGCCTCAATCTGAAGTCCCAAAATCATGGATTTGTAAAATATGTACGTCTAGGTGCATAATTAGCGCTCGTACGGTGAAGAAATCGTCTTAGACCCGTAATATTCGACGAAAGTTGATTGTCTCCTTGTCTACAACAAAAATTGATGTTAAAGTTGTTGTCAAAACAAGCCCTCCAGGGAAACACCACTTTAACCCATTAAATAGCATTAGCTCACGTGGTTGGCGCGTTGGTCACGTGACCATTACCAAACAATCATGATCGTAGAACAATGTCTGATTTGAAAAAAATCCAAAATCCACTTTTTATCATATCTGGATACTACATTAACTAAATATTACGGCTACATTAAAAAAAATCATGTGTTTTAAATTTCCAATTAATCAGTCAGTAAAGTGACGGATTTGATAGACGCTCATTGATTTTTCTAGAAAACTGTGAAAAGTTAATGTTATTATTTTAATTTTGTTTCAAAAGAAACCCTTTTGTTTGCTTGTATGCTAATTTTCATAATTACAGAATATGAATAAAAAAAGTTATGCACAAAACTAACATTACTATATTATTTTGAAATGGCTGCCCTGTAAAGTTTTTGATTTGTCAGATCCGTCAATATTCTACGACTATTACGATTATTTAATTCGTTTAGTTAGTGCCTCGCGCCTGTTGCAAAATGGATTTGTGCCCCATTTTTGATATACCAACGTTTTACACAGCAAATGACAAGTTTCTAAACAACTTGTAGGGTGGAGCAAGGATGTTTTTTTTTATAGAACAGGGGCCAAACGGCCTCACCTGATGTTAAGTGATACCGCTGCCCATGGACACTCTCAATGCCATAGGGCTCGCAAGTGCGTTGCCGGCCTTTTAAGATTAGGGTCGAATTGGTTCGTAAATGTTGTGCCCTTCCTCCGAACTCCTCAACCAGTCTCACCACTGATGGCCGACCCGGAAGCCACAGTGGCTAAAGTCGAGAGGTTGATTTTTATCGTTAGATGTCATTAAAGCCGCAGAATGTCGGTGTGGTTACAGTGGCATAAAGCTTAGGTTTCCTAGAAAAGCGGTGCCGTTATCTAACTGCCGTAATGTAACGTTGTGTAACGTCAACCATACGTTATCTATAAATAACATCGGAGTAGGTTTTCTAGAGAACGTTGAGTGTCACCGTAACGTCAAATAGCGGTGATGTCATTTACATAACGGCCATCAAAGCGGTGATAAACAGTAGTTCAACGTTTTTCGCGTGTAGCGGTGCCCATATTTAATTAATACAATGAGTGGAAACGTGACTTGGACGAGCGAAAATGATTGTTTTTTTTGCATTACGTTAAAAAGTAAAGACGGCCGTTATTAACAACCGTAAAATGACGGCCGTTAGTTAACGGCACCGCTTTTCTAGGAACTACGCTTAACGCCTAACAAAAAATAACTTTATTAGTTTTAGACTTCGTAACGTCACATTCACTATAGAAAATATATAATTCCTGATTTTCTTTCAGCCAAAGGAGAGAGTATTTGGGATAGATACACTCATACGCACCCCGAGCGCATATTCGACCACAACACTGGTGACGTCGCTGCCGACTCCTATCACAATTTCCCTCGGGATGTGGAACTGATGAAGCAACTTGGTGTTCAGTTTTATCGTTTCTCTATATCTTGGCCGAGGATACTGCCAAATGGACTTACCAAGTTCGTATAACTGTAATAATATAAAGTTCTTAGATAATTATATATTATTAAAATATATAATTATTTCATATACATATTTTTTTTATTAATTTACTAGCGGACCGGCCAAGCGTTGCTGTAGCTAAGGTTTTTGTTATATTACATAGCAGCAAACTATTCAAGGGAAACGGTAGGAGATCACCAGGCATGGGGACCACCATGCTTTTTTGGTGGTTACCTATGCCATTAAATTGTAGCTTATGTGAAACGTTGGTACTTTCAACCAGGCGCCATCTGTTAGAATTGTGACTATCAAATAATAAAATAAAAAAATAAAATATGTTTATTATGGAAAGATACTTTCACTTTCCACGTTTAAATTTGAAGGCATCCCTACTCATCGGCAAAGAAGACAGGTGTACCGAGAAAACCGGCGTAAAAAATCTCGGTACTCTTTTAAAAAATCATAAAACAAATATCGCAAATTGATTAGAAGTAGCCTGTCTAGCACTAGTCCCAGACCCTTTTATCAACTAGATAATCGTTGACTTTATAGTAAGCCTTTTTACACAGCTTTTCTTTAATACATTTCTTAAATTTATTGAAAAGGCAGTGATAAAAGAGCCTCTGGGATTTTATTAAAGAAGAGTATCCCTTTCCCCAAAAAAGAATTACTAACTTTAGATAGTCTAGTACGGGGAAATTGCAGCCTGCGTTTGTTCCGTGTATTAACATTGTGCGTATGTTCTATTCTAGTAAACTTATCACTATTTTTGTATACATACATAATATTTTCATAAATATATTGCGAGGGAAAGGTAAGTATATTAATTTCCTTGAATTTATCTCTAAGAGATTCCCTACATTTTAAATTATAGATTGCACGAATAGCCCTCTTCTGCAGGATGAAAATAGTTTCGACATCCAGCTGACCCCATAATAATAAGCCATAAGTCATTAAGCTGAAAGTAACTAAAATAAACAAGTCTAGCTGTATCGACATCAGTTAGTGAGCGAATTTTTTTAACCGCGTAGGCTCAGAACTAAGTCTTTTCGCCAATCCGTTAATATGAGGGGACCACTGAAGTTTTGAATCCATGGTGATTCCGAGAAATACAGTTGTATCATCCAGTTCAATTCCTCACCGTTTATAATTGGTCTAGTATCCATAACCCTTGCATTTTTGCACAAAATTTAATGCATTTTGTCTTTTTGCATTAAGTAAAGGTTATTCATACTAAACCAATGGACATCGAAGACAAGCATTTTCACATCGTCAAAATTTGTTATTTGTCGTTTGATTTTAAAAATCAAGGACGTGTCACAAACAAATTCTGATGTTTTCATTTATCATTTATATAAACAAGAAAGAGGAAAGGGCCAAGAATTGAGCCCTTGGTACCCCCATTCTACTGCCGACCCAGAGGACCTCTTACCATTCACTTCAACCTTCTGAGTTCTTCCGTGTAAATAGGAAGTCAGAAGATTCAGTGCGGTTTCTTGATGCCATAGTGGCGGAGTTTCCCGATTAAGGTCTCGTGTTGGCACAATCAAATGCTTTGGATAAGTCGCAGAAAACACCTAAAGCGTCTGACTCCTCCCAAGCCTTAACTATATATCTATATAACTCAACACCGGCATCGGCTGTCGAGCGACCCTTGGTAAAACCGAACTGATTATTATGTAATAATTTGTTTTACGTTAAAATGACTTACCAGTTGATTTAATTAATTTTTTCAAATATTTTACTACAAGTAGGTAGTACGGAAATTGGTCTAAATTACTGG